AATCCAGAAATGTAAATCTTATTTGGCTTCTTGGTATTTTCATCAGTCATATTCAGGGAACCTGGAAGATGATCTTGCTGAATTGTAAGTAGTCAGCTGACACTGGACAGCCCATTTATCCTACATTCAGTCCCCACATTTCTTTCACCTATTTAAGGGACTTTCCACTAGTACCTACTCAGCTCTGCATATCTCTCCACAACTCAATTTAAGTGGTTTTCTTTTACAAATGAGGTCCTAACAGAAACGCAACTAACACTCATCAGGCAATGATACACAGACTAAACCTGGTGTGTTGGGCTTTGTATTAGTCATTGTCGACGATCACTAATACAATGAAATTTGACTTTTTTTGACTGTTTTTTAAAAGGCATGGGGTTCTTGTGAAGACATCACTATCAAATCTTGTGACTCTCTGGCCAATCAGCACCTGACAGTCGGCTGTTGAAGAATAGGATTTAAAAGGAAATGTTCGACGGGATTTCTCTCCTTTAATTGTTGAAAGAAAGCATTTTTTCAAGAAAATGTGCATAAAAATGTACACACGGATTAAAAAATACTTTAATAAGAAAACACTTTTTAGCCAAAGTGCATTTAGTTGTTTCCTTCTTCTTTCGTCACCAACACATTGATCATGATGACTTTGGCCATTTCTTCTGCATGATTTCTGTGTGTTTTCAAACTGTTTTGAGGTTTTCAGCCACATCTTCTGCTCCGATTGGTAATTGTATCTGTCTGTTTTGACGTGCTGTTTACCGTAGACTGTGGTTCCAATCCACCAACTGGTGCACACCGTCCGATAGAGGCAAGAACTAAAGGGAATGCAATTCAGTTGATAGGAAAAGATGTCTCTGATAGTTCTCATTAAAAAAAAGAAATGATTACCCAGGATACCAGGGTTTTACCTTGATGGAGGAGTGCCAGAGTTTTACAGCAAGCTAACAAAATAATTGGATGAAGCCATGCAAGTCAGCTGGCAGGAAGATATTCATATCATATCTGTGTTGATAGAAAATGAAGTATTTACCCCCCCCAACACACACACACACACACACACACACCACAGCGAGGAACTCCTCTTGAGCAATTGGTTGGTGTTGCTTAAAAGACCACCCCAGAAAATGTTCAGACAGGAATGGCATCATAATGTAGTTCTGCTATCTTAGAACACTGTGCAATACACGGACAGTCTTCATTTGCTACTTTGAAGTACAGCAGCAGCCAACAGCACGGGCTCAGTCGATCATTTATATCAAGGAAAGGCACAAAATCTGAAAACCGATCAATGCTTTGAAAACATAATGGGAGATTTGATTCCCTTCCAAACAAATAATCTTATTTGTTTGATAGATTGGTTCATTGTGGTTCTAACCGGGGTAATGACTGTTTAATGGTGCATAACAAATTAACCTAAATCTCTGAACAAACTGAAATCGACAGATCCGTTTAGATATAGGCTACAATGTCCGGTTGACTCAGAGGGTGAAAATGTATTATGATATCATATTGTCACCAGCTGGATCATGACCAGAGGCTATTTCTGTACTGTGAATAACATGAATAACCAAATGAATATGAGTGAACCAAATGTCTTTGTTTTGTTAGTTTGACAGTGGAAACATTACAACGGTTAATTGCCTCTCTTGCTTTTAGATTTTGTGCAGTAAGTATTTTCAGAAACTGCTTTGTCTCATCAGGCTCAGTACTTGCTGGAATACGTCTCAATATGAGAAGGTAGCCATGTCCAAACAGAGAAAATGAATAATACCCCTTAGGCTCACTTTATTTTTCAGATTTCTCTAAATGCAATAGCTGTTCATGTCAGGTTGAAGATCATAATTATTTGATTTCATTTGATTAAACTTTGTTAAATTATTTTCACTAAGCATTCATTAAACTCTGTAAAAATGACAGCTGGGAAAACTCTTTCATGCTAACAGATAAGCGTGAAAGCAGCTGCATTAACCTCCAATCCAAAGGAATTTAAACAAAACATTCAAAATTTGTAACAAGAATCTTCTCTTTTCTCGGCACCTCTGTATCTGCTGCATAATGATGCCCCACACCTTTATATCGTCCTAACTATGGTACCTGCAAACGTGTCAGGCATACCGAGTTGCCCCATTCTAGTGTTGTTGTGAAGCAATTCCTTTTGGATTGGAAATCTCTTTTTGCTGCCCAAAAAAATGATACTTCCTCTTACTGATGAAAGGGAAACGAAAGTGGGTGTGGAACATTGCAAAAGACAGACTAAAGATCAGGGGCAAGATTAAGAAAGATACAGGAAGAAAGAAGACTGAAGTAAAAAAAAAAGAAAAACAGAAGAAAAAAGGTTGATGAATGAGAGAGGTTGAACGATGAGTGAATGCAAGGACAACAGGAGGCCCGTTGTCGCAGTCACATATACAATTCATAGCAACGATGGGTCTCCACCATTTATTATTTATTGTATTTTCTTAAATCCCACCTGTGCGGCTTTCATTAAGACTCTACCTTAAATGAGTGCTTCCTTGTCTGGGATTCGATTTTATGTGAAGACAAAATCAATCCACATTTGAATCATACGTGTGAATAGTCGATTATTGAGTGGCAATAAAGTGATTTTTATGTAACCGATATTATTTTCTAACAACTGCTTTGACCAAACAAATACAACATAGATAATTCAATTAACCTTTTTCATGCTAGCTGGGAAACATGACATCCAATATTGACCCAGTGGACTCATTTCTCTTTGGACTGCCACAGCGACTCCTACGCTGTGGATGCAACAGCATTAAGGACACGTACTATAACACACCCTCCCAGGATCTGCTTTGCCATTCTAACTGAAAACTAAACCTTTACATGAATGCACAGCTCACATTAGTCTCTCACCACCTTCTGATTACATCCTCTTTTTCCCAACAGGTGAAACTGACGCCTTCAGTTGTAAAAATGTGTTTAATATCAAGGAACATTTCTGAATCTTTTTGAAGGCGCTCTCTGGGAGAGATAAGCCCAAACTTTTATGTTAAGAACAATCTTCGGCACTCTTTTTTGAGAAACAATTTAAATCCCATTATTTTCACAGTGAAAGCATGTTGACCTGCAGAACACCTACACGTTTTGGCTCGATAGCATTCCTCTGGGAGACTTCCTGTGAAGGAGTTTACTCATTTCTCTGCTTTGAACATTTGCAGCATTTGGACTACTGGGTATGTTGCCATGAAATATACTCACTCACCCTCGGAATATGCCAATGCTCGTTTCAACCCGAAGATGCATCATGAATCACACAAAGCTGACGTTCCTACCGGCCCCATCTGTACCTTTTTTGTGAATTTTGCAATTGATTTGAATGTTTGATTACATAGAAGAATGTTTGATGGCGTTGAAAAGATGATTCTGATCTTATCAGCTGATCAAGACTGAATAACTTTTATAGAATACTCTTAGATGCTTTTGAGAGCGACACCATGTGAACTGTAAAAATGTGGATTGTATAGACAAGTGTTGAACTCTTTGTGTAAAGAATACATTTTTACTCAAAACATAACCTTTAACAAAGTACAAAATTTACCAGTGAACTAAACTACATTTAGATACATTTTTCATTCACAATATTTTATCTTTCGCTTGGCATTTTGCATGGATTTTATTAAAATATATAGTCCAGTTAAGTGTTTGTAAAAGTTTCATTTCACTGCATAAAATCACCATAAAACTAAAAATTACTAAGTGTGAAAGATATCAGAGGAGTTGAAACCAGCACACTCGTCTCACATTAAAGAGAAAACATGAAATAACACATATGAACATTTTGTAATTGAAAGAGCAGAGCGGAGTGCTGCAGAGTGAGCGGGGAGACTTGTGATCAAACAGGGGCTCTAAATATAGGATGCTGCAGCATAATTTCTTCTGCTTGAGAGGGATTCACCCAGCCTCATCTGAGAAAGGAAATTAATTTAAAGAAAGGAAAAAAAAGAAAAGAAAAGAAAAGGAAAGGAAAGCAAAGCAAAGCAAAGGAAAGGAAAGCAAAGGAAAGGAAAGAGGATAGGACCCTAGGTAGAAGAATCCCATTGTGTAATTACTGTGCCATTGAAAGATCAAAGATGTCTATATGTGTGCGTGTGTGTGTGTGTTTGTAAGTGAGAAAAGGAAGCTCAGTCACGTGGTTCTGCATCCATTCACATCCATCATAACAGAGGGGAGGGGTGGATCTGTGCATGACTGCTGGCTGCCTTATAATCTGTCCATCATCTTATTGTGCAGTGTGTTGTTATAATCAGTACCTTGAGCATATCTGTTGGCAGTAATCCCAAGGCTGTCTCAACTGTATCCATTCAATTAGTTTTTACAGCCAAAGACAAATGTAGGCTAACCTGTACATACAACATTTATTATTGTAATTCAGACCTATTTGGCTTTGGTAGAATGAGAACTATACGTTTAATTTTTTCCACCCAATGTATCTAAATTCAGCAGCAAAGGATAACTGAAAATTAAAAATGAAAACTATAAGATCAACAAACAAATGGACATTTGCGGTCTGTCCTTCATTGGTTCATGCAGAGAATGGTTTTGTGACAAAAAATTGACCAGTAGTCTAATGTAGTAGTCTGCTCATGCAGCTGTTTGATGCATGTTAGTAAAAATGTCTGCTTTCACAAATCATAGATCTGAATCCCAAGAGGAGATTATAGAGTATATTTACTGTACATTAAACCCAACCCTGGTAAATCCATTTCCATGGCATACATTATTTCTATAATATCATTAACAACCATAAACTAACTCTAAACAAACCAACTTGTACCTTCAGACACAACAAGTCATTCATATCACAGACTTTCATTTATAGAACAGAAAGAGGGCTTAAAAACTCGTACCAACATTTTGTGGCACACAGTGACACCCTGTGGACCACTGGGGGTTATTGCATGCTATATGAACATCCACCAGCAGGGGGCAGCGTAATAATACAGAGGAACTTTTGGTCTCCAACTTCCTCTCTTAACTCGACTCTTCTTCTTTGCTGCCGGAGCGGGTTTCCGTCCTCTCCCGGTTGTCGTCTGTTCGTGTGACAGGTATTTACTTCCACCACCTCGGTGATTGCCTCAAAATCCTCATCAATCCGCGTGTATTTCACACATCAGCACTTAAACAGACACATATTTTGTTAAAGCTCTTTACTCTTCAGGGATCTACCCTAATATGGTTTACTTTTGCCCCCCATTAAACGTTGAGAAGTACTTCTGAAAAGAGCTAACCGCTGCTCAGCTAACAGCAGCGGAAATATCAGCGTGAAACGATTCATTTCAGTATATTTTTATGTTATGGTTTTTAATTTAATCATACATATCCATTTGAATGCATTTTCTGTTTTAATGGTAAACCAATGCGCGTACTGACTAAAATGTCCTCCTTTGGTGCAGCTAAGACAGAAGCACGAATGTGAATGCTAATGTTGGTCACCGGTAAATGGATACTAGAATATCTTCTAAAAATGTATTTTTCCTTTAGATTCGTAAGCGTCGAAATGGCCAAGTCAAAGAATCACACAACCCACAACCAGTGTAAGTAAAAATTAATCAGATATATTGTAATGTTGGGAATTCATTCATGAGGTCATATGTTCTGAACTAATAATTGTATTGTCATAACAGCTCGTAAAGCCCATAGGAATGGCATCAAGAAGCCCACATCCCAGCGCTACGAGTCCTTGAAGGGGGTATGTTCACTCACAGTCCTGTTTGCAAATCCAGAGCAGATGTGTGTGTTGTAGATTACTCTGTTTGGCCAAGTTGCTTATCTTGATAGTCCTGTGTGGACACCAATATGTGGACACAGATTTGCATCTGGAATTTCTGAGGATGATGGGAATCTTTTGCATCTTCAACTGTGAATTAATCTGGTTGTCGATCACAGATGTGATGCAAGAAATGAGATTTCTTTAGAGGATATTAAAGGCTCAGTAACTGACCGTGTACTTGGGCAAGTGCATGCTCAGTATTGGGAAGGGGGTTCCTTCAAGTCTGTGTGAAAATACGTTTGCCGCTGGTCAGACAGAAGACCAATGATGTTGTTATGGTGTATTTAGAAGGCCAAAAGCTAGCAACACTGATCACTCCTTTCTCTGCACGATTGCCTATTGGCTCAGTTGCCCTCATCCATAATGCGATGAGGAGGGTCAGTGAGCAAGATGCAGTGTTTAACAAAGAGAGACATCATTAGGCCTTTTGGCCTCTTTATCATATGTCCTTTTTCCTGAAGTCTGCACGTGTTTTTCAACATACATGTTTATCTGGGATCCAGTGCATGAACTTGCATCTCTGTGCCATGCCACTGCTCTTGAGATGACTTCTACAAAAGTTTAATCTGCATCCTCACTCGGCTGCCTTGGTGAACCTGCACTGCTGAAGGAATCACTTCGATATCTATTCTTTAGTTTAATAATGTCATTTTCAGTGATCATTAAAACAGCCTGGAATTTTGTTTACAAAGTTAATGTTTAGAATTTAGATTTTCACAAAAATACTTTGATTTTTTTATTCGAAAGAGAAAAAAAAGATTGTTTTAAAAACCTGATGTTGATTCTGTCAAAAATGCTGTCACTCTAATTACACTTTAAATGTGAATTCATTTAAATCGGCTCAAATCTGTTTTCATGCTCCCAGGATGACATCAATACTACTACTCAATAGTCTTTGTTACATGCTTTCCCAAAGAAGTTTTTTCTTTTCAAGTTGATTATTTTCAAGACCAAATGTTGAATAAAACAAGTACTCCTGAACTTCACAGTGGACTTGGAGACTTTTTTTTAAACATGTCCACAACTTTAACTTCTGCATTAATTTGTTTTCAGATTTGTTTAAAAATAAGAACACTTTTTTTCTCCTCATAGGTGGACCCCAAGTTCATGAGGAATATGCGTTTTGCTAAGAAGCACAACAAGAAGGGCCAGAAGGCGGCACAGAAGGCAGCAAAGGCGAAATAAGCTGCTGTGAAGGCTTCTTCATGTCTGTCAGCGTTCCTCATTGTGTTACCACCATCACAATAAAGCAGTGCTTTGTAAACAAACAGCCTGATTTTTGTTTTAAAACATAAGCTCTGTCTGATTGAATGAGAAGACTGTATCAAATCTTACTTAATACATTTAAAGTGTTTTTATTTTTTTTATTTCTGTGCAAAAACTGAAATGGCTTAGTAAGCAGATGGTAGAAATAATCATTAAATGTGACAGGCTCAGATTTAATTGCAGGTTCACTGCTTTTGAGTTTAAGATATTTCATGCAAATTTGCGATGTTTAATCATTTGTAACAGTTGATCAGTATTTAACAAAGTTTGGACCTGTGGTTTAAGTAGAAATCTCATCAACTGGAGACTGTTGCAGACTCTTCCAGCAGAGGACCTCAGATCATACATTTTCAAAGAGTCATAATAACTGTCATACAGATTAGATGAAAATATTCCCAACTGAACCAAACCGTGCCACCACTACCCCAGAACCCAAGGAGAGTCATATGGTGGATACATCTTATATCCACACATCTTGTTTTTAGCCTTTTGCTCCAGCATAATTTTTCACTGACCTGTGTTCATTCTGCGTGGTTTAAATTCACCACAAACAGTTGCATGATTTCACAGGGAGTTTAATATTTTCATACCTTATAGTCATTAAATTGCAAATACCACAAAAGACATGACAATGACGTGAACTGAAATTCACACCACCATCACTACAACTGAAGTCGGATTGAGTTGAGTTTCTACGTTCCCGAAAAGTTGACATTTTATTTTGAATCGGTTCGCGTTGTGTCGTCATTTCCGGGCACGCTCTGACTCTCGCTTGCATCATTTCTCGTGTGTTGGGAGCCGGGTTCAGAACATGTGAGTCCCTACAGTCAAACTACTGGTTCACCTGAAATGTGTGATTCCAGTCACATCACAGCGTCCATTTGTTGGGATTTGTAGGTGTTTGAACCTTGTATTTGTCAAAACCTTTTGCCGTTAAACCTGAGGCTAACTTACTGGATCAGTGACCCGTTAGCTTAGCTCGTTAGCTAACAACAAGGAGGCGTCATTCTTGTGAGCCATCCGGTTTGGAAAAGTGATTCAATTAATCACTCAAGACAATCTTTTGTCGGCCAAATGTCAGACATATAAGTTAATTAGGCATATAGTCTATCACCAGGGTTTAAGCATTCAACGCGACGTTTTGCTTTGTTTACCACCTAATTAGCTTAGGCAGATTTGACAGGTCTTGAGGGATAGTTTGCACATGGTGGGGGACGTTCACAGGAAGAGAGACACAATGCTGAGGTTCATGAATTTTCTCATATGTCAAATTTAGAAATGTTTGTTCCGAAATGTTTGATGCATAATAGATTGAACATAAATAACCAAAGCGGTTTGAATTGAACAGAAAACACTGTCAAATCGAGTCTGCATGTTGTGCACACAGTTTCAGTCTCTCCTCTGCTGACCTCTGCCTAACTCCTTTAACTTTTTATTGTGAATGAACAGACACCATGGTGGAGCCAGTCCCTGAGTCCATCAACTTTCCCTCTGAGGAGGACAAGATCCTTAAGTTTTGGCAAGAAAAGGACTGCTTCCAGGAATGCCTCAAACAGTCTAAGAATCGACCCAGGTAGATCCCACTGCGTTTGAGTACTAATTCTTAAGGTTCATATTCGATTTTAGAAATTAGCTTGATTTACTTCAAAAGAAGGAGACATTATAGAACACATGAACTATGTTTAGGATGGTGGTGTATTTGAAAAGGTTACTACCAGTCTTATTACAACACTAATTACAAAACTTATTACATTTTGTTAATTGTCAGATTTAAAACGTTAGTATGCTTAAACTATTACTGTTGCATCTTTTATTAAGCTCAGGAATAGCTCTTTCTTTCTAAAAAATATGCATCATTAATAAATTACTTAATCTGATCTTTGTTGGCCTTAAATTTCAAGTTATGACATAATATCAGTAGTTCTAATCCTTGGTTTATAACTTTAATTAAATATGTGTCTGAGTTCATAGCATTTCTTTATTTAAAGCAGTCCTATACCCTCTATGGTAGAGTAATAAATTGATCATCTATTGATTTGCTGCCCATCTCTCAACCAGGTACACCTTCTATGATGGCCCTCCCTTTGCCACGGGTCTCCCTCATTATGGTCACATCTTAGCTGGCACCATTAAGGACATTGTTACCCGCTATGCCCACCAGAGTGGCTTCCATGTGGACCGGCGCTTTGGCTGGGACTGTCATGGCCTGCCTGTGGTCAGTTTTTATCCAAAATGGCTTTTCTTTTAGATTGATTAAAGTGCTGCAAATATAGTAAAGAAACATTTCATATTAAATCTCTGCTTTTGTTATATTCCCTTTGTGTTTGTAGGAGTATGAGATTGATAAGACTTTAGGCATCAGAGGACCAGAGGATGTTGCCAAGATGGGCATTACTGAGTATAACAAGCAGTGCCGAAACATTGTGATGAGATACTCCAATGAATGGGAGGTGGGAAGAGGATACCATTCTTCTGAATCCAGTTGAGTTCATTATTCATAGTGCAGACATGCCAAATGATCATTGTGCCCCTTTTTCTTCGTAGACTTCAGTGAGGCGAATGGGCCGGTGGATTGACTTTCGTAATGACTACAAGACTCTTTACCCTTGGTTCATGGAGACCGTCTGGTATGGATGACTGAGCTTCCTCCACTTCCTCCATTTTATTTTTACACAGCTTGGCTTATTCTCTTTAATGCAGTGAATCCTCTGACATATTTGGGAGGCTATCTGACTTGCAAATAAAAAAGCTCTCCTCAACATTTATTTTCAAGTCAAAGGCCTTTGTGATTTTTGTTCATGTTTGATATTTTGATGGTAAATTAACTTACAGAAAGTTTTGAAATAACTGGACTCATTCCTACAGACTCCCCTTTTTGCTTGAGTCAAACCTTATGAAACAGTAACTTAATTTTAATGTCAAAATGTGTCCCTTTCATTTATTGAATGATAATAATAGCAATATTATTGCTAAAAGTGAACCACCAAAATCCTAAATAAAGGTCAGAAGAAATTTGCCTCGCTTCTCCTCCTCATGTAGACCTTTCTAATAAAATCTTTGCTTCTCTCTTTAAGGTGGGTGTTCAAACAGCTCTATGACAAGGGTCTGGTGTACCGTGGTGTCAAAGTCATGCCTTTCTCCACTGCCTGCAACACCCCCCTTTCCAACTTTGAGTCCAATCAGAACTACAAGGTTAGCATAAGACACAGCCACTTTATAACTATTTATTAAAACCCAACGATGCTGTTTTGTCACTTTTTTTTTCTTTTTCACTTCCAGGATGTTCAGGATCCCTCAGTGATTGTCAACTTCCCATTGGTTGAAAACGAGGATGTTGCTTTGATTGCCTGGACGACCACGCCCTGGACACTGCCGAGCAACCTGGCACTGTGTGTCAACCCAGAGTACTTGTATGTTCGGGTCAAAGGTGAGGGGCTTCAACAAATACTGACATCTTTACAGGAACCGTGCTCTTCTCAGCAAGCTCTTAGGGATCTCAAGCTCAGCCACAGAATCTAGTTTATTCTTGTTTTATTGCTTTTGTCTGTACTTTATTCAACTTGTTCAAAGGTAGAAGGGAACAGCTGCTCACAAACACGCTCATGTGGCAGATTACTTAAATTACTGGGAGCAGTTCTCTTGTTGTTAATTGCTGATGCCGAAGGCAAGACTGAAAATGTAGTTTCTCTTGTGGGTTTAGGATTTTTGACCACGGTATCAACTGCTGCTTGTTTTTTATTAAGGAAGAACAAACAAGAACAAATTACCAGAGGATGAGTACTGCTTTTGCAAATTGCACCCAGGGGAAAGCAAATTTGTAGCATGATGGGTTGGTGGACTCTCCAGCTATTGCCTTTTAAGTTATGAGATCTATTTAAGCTAGAAAATAACAGCTTTTTCAGTTGTTGTCTCTGTGACTCAAGCCTTTTCCCGTACCAGCCAGATTATTAGCATCCAAAAGCGGTAGCTGGGAACTTAGATGTTCATACAGACATTACATTACATTATGTCATAAAATGGTAGAGCTTCACCCACTATAAATTGTGTTGTTAGTTTAAAACAAAATAAGGTTAGCTAATATTATTTATGAATTAAATACATAATAAGGTACATTACATATTTAGGATTATTAAGTAATTACTTTATTGATTATAATTTAATTGATAATGGACCCAAACTGAAGCGTTTCATTCACAGAACAAGTTTTTATGATTATATGAATACACATTATGAAAAATTACAGACTTAGACAATTCTGAATGATAAAAAAAATCCCACTCTTATATTGGGTATGTCGGGTTTTAAAAATGACAGGAATATGAACTTTTTTTATCCCTTTTAGATGCTGGAGAAGTGTCCTCTGAGTCACACTACAGATTACGACTCGCCTGTGAAGGCGTCAGATTTTACATCTGTTTACACAAATGTCAGCACAGCTTGAGCACGCCATCAGTGGATGGACAGAGATATTAGGAGCAGGAGTATTTAAAATGAACTAACAAAGAAGCAAACACAACAGTGAACTCCGAAAAACGACATAGCTGAGTTATCACATCTGAGAGTAGTCCACCATTTTATCCACTGAATGAGCCATTTTCTTAAACCAGCAAACCAACATTGTGTCTCCAACTTTAGTTTCGACTCTCAGCTCGCAGACTTAATGTACTTCACCTATAATGAGTGTTTTTGTTTTGATGTAACAGATCTGTAGAGTGGGATAGATGATGGTCTCTGTTTGCTTGATGGTGGGCAGAACTGCCAGCTCGTGTCTCTCTGGGCTGCTTCTGTTGTGTGGAACAAGGGGATGACTCTGCATGTGGATCAAACCTAGAAATGTGGATGAACCTCAAATCAGGCCACTTAAAAAAGCATTGTCCTTGTTCGGATACAAAAAGGAAAGACTCTGGAGAGGTGGCTACTGTTTTCTGCTACCCTCCTGCTGTAGCTTTTGGTTTCCCGGGAGAGAAACTGGTGGGTTTTTAAAAGGATGACCTAGATTCCCGGTGGCTGGTCATAGCCCTGCAGGTCCTGCAGGGGGCACTGTTGAAGCACAGTGCTCTGTCGTCCCTGCACTGATTGCTGTGCTGCATGGAAGACCGCCTTGGAATACCAATGAGTTTTTTTTTTTTTCTTGGCATCAGTATAGTCTCTCTTAACTCTACTGCTCTGTTAATCAATCGCCGTCCCTTTATTTTATCCATATTACTTCCCCGTTCTGCCTTCTCCACCGGCTCATGTCTGCCTTTGTTCTTATTTGTTTCTCGCTCCGTCTCTTCTCCTCTCTGCTTTTTCTCGCTGTTTGAGTCGAGGGCTGTCAGTGGCAACGAGTCAGAGCTGTGAAGTCATTTGTCACACCACTGAAGGGAAGAAACATGTTTTATTGATGCTGCCCTCTTCTCTCTCTTTTTGTGTCTCTCTATCTTTGGCCGTTTGGTTTTTGCCCTCCTCGCAACTGTTGTCCCAGCTGCTCTCCGCTCTTCCTCTTTATATTTTTCCAAAAGTCTCCCCTCAACCATATTTTTCGACAGGGTTAAACTTCCTAAAATAGCTGGCAGTCATACCACACCAACTGGGTGGATAGAGCTCACCTCTAGTTCACCTTTAGTTATGGAAATGAGATGCGCTCCTGCTGAACCTGATTGAACAGCATTACAGGATGTAGAATCACAACTCTTTGGCTGATGATAGATCTTTAATAGAAAAGTAGCAGGACAAATTTGAAAACAAGTAACTCATCGTATTTATCTCATCTTTCCTAAATCTTTCAGATAATGCAACAGACAAGACCTACATTATGATGGAGGCCAGGCTGGGAGCTCTTTTTAAATCTGAGAGTGAATATACTCTCCTGGACAAGTGAGTGAGACACTACAGGTCAAAAAAATTTTGAAGAAAGAATTGACTACACTGAAATATCATGAGTATTATGTCTTGACTGCATGAACATACAGAAACACTTTTTTTTTGTGTGAAATCACCTGCAACTATTTCAACTTCATATTTCCACTGCAAAGATTAGCATGAAAGGTTGTTTGTTGGGCAAGGAACATTTTTTATTGCAGTTTAAATTTTCCTGTTAAGCTTCTTCTGAGTTCTAATTGTCTTCCTGACTGAAGGGACACATATAAAGATGCAGAAGTACAGCTCTTAGTTTGGAGCTCGACAGACGTTTCTGGAGCAGAAAGAGAGCATAGTACATAGCAGCTAACAGGAAGTAAAGTGAGATGGGGACTACACCAGAATAAAAAATGGATACACCATGTACTGAGGAATAAAAGCGCGTTTCAGCATGATTTATCCCCACCCTTCCCATCCTGCATTTGGGACAAATTAACTGGCTATAAAGATGTCATCCTGGGTGAAAATGCTGCACCCTGGATTGAGTCTTTATAAACAAGAACAGTCTCTCTATACACAGAGACATCTTTATTCCACAAGCGGTGACAAAAACAGCAAATCATTACTTATTCATCTGCAAATAAAAGCACATTATTTGATTTCAGTAGATTATTTGGTAGCTTTTGTGTTTACCAAGTAAAAACATTAATCTTTCTGGAGGGATCCTCTTTGAATTGTGTGAATGGGATACTTTGAATTTTATATTAAACGTACATAGCCATAAACTGCTGAGAGATTACCTGCATGAGCAGTTTAAACTTGGAGGGATTGTTCCCCACAGCCACATACAACACACACACACACACACACACACACACACACACACACACACACACATATATATATATATTTAGTTTTTTGTTTTTCATCAGTCCAAACTTACACACTTCGTAAAATAAAGGACAAAATTGAGTTGGAATGTTTTTTATAGTGTAAAACGTGAATTTCAGCTCCTTCTCTCATATAATTGTTCTAGCTGCTTGACACATTAAGCTCTTTTTGAAGACACCAATCAGGGTTGGATTTAAAAACCACACATTAAAATGTATGAAAACCACGTGTCCAAGAGGATCAGGCATGAGAGCCTGAAATACCCGTATCCAGGAAAATGCACATTTCATCATGTCATCTCATCTTGAGGCAGTGTGGCTCTGGAGTGGAAGTTCAAAAAATACAATGACCTAGTCATACCCCTAATCTGCTGATTAACGGTCCTTTGGAGCCCAGGACAGCCTCAGTTGGTCTCCCAAGTTCCTCAAAACACAATGTTATTGTTCCAATTATTATTATTTTTTAAAGTATTTATTTTTGTTTATGTATATCCTCTTCTTTGTTTTTTTTGTTTTTAGTGATTCAATATTTGCAAAGCATTCCAACTTTTTTTCGAGTCTCTATTTAGTGTCACATTGAGACACTTTTTTTTTTTTTTTTTCATTTGATCCCTCACCTGTTTATGAGGTGAGTTTTTGTTTGTGCTCCTGTGTGGATTCCTAAAAAAGTTTCTGGATGTGTTTATGTTTCAGATTCCCAGGCAAAATCTTAAAAGGGAAAAAATACAAACCTCTCTTCCAGTACTTTGTCAAGGTTGGTTGACTGTGTTTTTGTTCTTTTTCTTTTGTAAAGAAAACTGAAAGTTTTAAGTCTCAATTTGATTATTTGTTTTATCCGGAAATTGATTTGCATTTAAATCTGTTTTCTTTGTCTCCTGAACTTGCTCCATCCCTCCCGATCTGACTTCAGTGTGGAGAAAATGGAGCCTTCCAGGTGGTGATGGATAACTACGTCAAAGAAGAAGAGGGCACAGGAGTTGTCCACCAAGCACCATACTTTGGAGCTGTAAGCAACATTTTTTGGGGGAAATAATATAAATCTAGATAGAATTACACAACAAATGATGAAGGACAATAAATTAAGCTTACATGTTTATCAGACCTCTGCTAGCGGAAATTTGCACCTCCCAACCCTCCAACAAGCTACACGTCTTTCTCATTTGCTGATTCGATTGCCCTGAGTGGAGTACCACTGCATCGACCTGCTTCAGTGTCTTTTGTCTCGGTCTTTTATTGGCTGAGCAAACGCTGACAGCACAACCTTGACATGCTGTCATGAATTAATTACTCCTGCACATTCTGTAAACATACATCAAATAAGTTAAAAATCCTGTGTCATTTTTCAGTGCATTTAAGTTCTGAACGCCTAGATGGGAGCTGGAATGAGATGGGGATAATCAAAGCGGCATAGAAGCAGAACTCTATGCTATGATGTGGAGAGCAGAGAAGGCCATCTTTTGTGCGAGCAACATTAACCGTTTGTCTCGATTGTCTTTGTCACTCTAATGTGGTTCCACTTGTCACCTGACAGCCTCATTCATGCCCACTCTCCTCAGTTAGTTACAGTGTTACAGCTGTGTGTTACACTGTAAACCTGCCTTTTGCAGCTGAAACAGGCTGAGGTAACCTCTCCCATATGGGGGCACTAAGCCCTAACCCTGATATGTATCAATGTCTTTGGTGTCCCATTGACTTTGCCCTGAAACCTAGCAGCAGATTGGACTTATGGTAACTTTTTTAAAAGTGGTTTGAGACAGTGTTTTTAGAAATGAAAGGTTCCTGTAAGCTTTAATGATACTTTTGTGTTCACTGTTTTCTAAAGTTCTTAAAAATCCCTTTTAATACAAATTATAATCTTAAACATCAGCATCTAAAGCATTTATTTCCACTGTCTCTAACAGTACATATATAACCTTTTTGTAAATGTGTTACATCAAACGTTTTTTGTTCAAGGCAAAAAATATGAACATATCGAGGACAGTCTGTCACTGTCGACAGGTTAGATGCCCTTACTGAGGGTGAATGGATTTGACTGTAGCCAGCTGTGAGTACTAACAGCTGTAACTTTGCCCTTAGAGCTCACAGTTTTTTTTCCCTCAGCAGTTCAACATCCTTGAGGCTTTTAACTAAATCGTACGTGTCAGCATCTTGCCTAAATTAGCATTTAAATCCTGTCTTTCTGTTTGATTTGGTCACACGTTTTCACGGTGATTGCCTTTATGATCAAAAATGAAACACAGACACGTTTGTTCTGAAAATGTACAGTGAGAGGAAAGCGCTGCCAAACTACATTTTTCAAATTTTATTTTGTTATGACTAGATGTGAAACGACCCTGTAAGTCATCGATCTTGGCTCCTGACAGGGTGTTTGAATACAAATTACATTTAGAGCTGGGCAGTGCTCACATCTTTCATGCGTAGCTGCCACATACCAGTGGTGCTTGTTTCAATGCTCCAAAAAGTATCCAGCTCAACAAGGAATTTAATATGCAGCCATAACATATCTAAACAAGTGAAGGTGGCTTCCAGAGGGGTTGGTTAACAATCCGGTTGAATGCAGTCTTAACACTGAAGCTTGAAATGAAATACGTCACGCTAATAGTGTCAGGATAGAGTACTTTAATAAGCTTCATATGCGTTTTATGGCGTTAGCCTACTGGTGGTAAATCAAGAAAGGAAACTGTAAATTAGATAAGATTTCTCACCCAATCCATATCCTGACTGCTTAATTTTTTTTCCTGCAGGATGATTACAGAGTGTGCGCTGAATACAACATCATCCAGAGGGACCAGGCTCCTATCTGCCCTGTGGATGCCTCGGGCTGCTTTACTTCAGAGGTCACTGACTTCGCAGGACAGTATGTCAAAGTGAGTGACACATCATAGATCTACATGTAGATTAGGTTTGCAGAAATTTCAGCCGCCTATACCCCTCCTGAAAGCCACTGGCCTCCCACTAAACGCCCCAACAATATCAATAGCTGGATAGAATTTCACTTCTTGGTACCTACCCGACTGCTCGCCATCTCTTAGGTTTATAACGGGAAATCAATCTGATCAAATTCAACTTTCATTCACCCCTTTATTTTATGCACTTGGGTGAAGTGCCCCCTCTTTCTCCTTTCTAAAAAGTGGGGGGAATAACAATTTTCTTTTGATTACTAGCACGTGAATATAACATTTTAATGGAAAGGTTGTGGGTTTGTGTGGGGAAACGTGCTGTTAAAGCACTTCATTGCATACCAGTGCACTGGATACCCTCTTGCATTCTGTCACACCCAACTTCATTAGCATCCTAAGTGGATCGTGATTTTAAAATAGCAGTCATACACGACGTGATCACTATTTCACATCCTGGTGCAAAGGCCAGGGAGTGGACTCGAAGTGCCCGGCCACTAACAGTACAGCGTTAGCTAATAAAGAGCATGCAGCCACAGTTCTCTGAAAGCCTGTCATAATCCACTTTTGAAACGTGTTAAAGCGTAGCGCGAGTTTCAAGGCTGTCTGACACATTCTTTACCACAGCATAAAAACACAGAGGTGATCTGAGTGAGAGTCAGTCTCAACGCAGGCAAAGTGAAAAAGCTTCGGAGCAGTTGGTTTATCTTTTTATAGGCCGAAAAAACAAACCCATTATCTTACACAACATGAGGGCTGCATCTTACACCCAGAAGAGCTTGCAAGTTAGCAGCTCTGGTGGCAGGGTGAGGGTCCAAAGCCCGTCACCTTCTCGCTGCCGTGGGTCCTCGTATGACAACCGCGGACGGTCGGGTTATCGCGGAGCTGCCATCGAAGTGGGCACAGAGATACACCAGCAGCATGCCAACGAGAAAGAGGAGATGCAAGAACTCAATGTCAAGTTTGCAGGATACATCGCAAAGGTCCAGGCACTGGAGCAGAAAAACGCCTCTCTTCAGGCTGAACTGGCTGCGCTGCAGGGCCGCTACAAGGGGAGTCCCACTGGCATCGGAGAAGAATATGAGCTCAAGTTCAGAGAGCTGCGGGAGCTAATTGAGACCCTGACCAATGAGAAGGGGGCGGCCGACATTGAACGAGGCTACATCGAAGAGGAGGTTGAGGTGTGGAGACTAAAGCTGGACGAGGAGCTGACACTGAAAGAAGAGGCGGAAATGATTCTGAGGGAGTTCCGCCAAGATGTTGACAACGCCACCCTGCAGAAGGCTGAGCTCGAGAAGCGCATAGAGCAGCTGGTGGCTGAGATCGAGTTTCTCAAGAAGCTGCACGATGAAGAGGTGGCTGACCTCATGAAGCAAATTGAGGACGCAAAAATCACTGCCGAGATGGATGGCGACCGTCCGGATCTGGCGGCGTATCTGCGCAACATGCGCGCAGAGATCGAAGCTGTGGCTGCCCGCAATGTCCAGGAGGCCGAGAAGTGGTATAAGAACAAGTTTGACTCCCTCAAGGAGCATGCGGGCAAACATGAAGACCAGATGAAAACCATGAAAGACGAAATCACGACCTTCCACAACCAGGTGACAGACCTGCAGAATCAGATTGACGGCCTGAGGGCTCGTAACGCCGCCCTGGAGCAGCAGCTGGAGGAAATGGAAGTCTCCCACCTGGATAAGGTGGGGAGTCTGGAAAGCGTTATTGCTCAGCTGGAGGCGCAGCTCTGTGAAACCAAACTGGAGATGACCAAGTATCTCCAAGACTACCAGGAACTGCTGCACATTAAGCTCAAGCTAGATGCAGAGATCGCAACTTACAGGAAGCTGCTGGAAGGAGAGGAACAGAGGCTTGGAATTACCAAAGACGCCTAGATGTCTGGGATAAGAGTAGTGGCAATGTCCAGAACAGTAATGAAAGAAGACCTGCAGTGCATCGTGAAATAGTTACAAAGACAAAATAGATTTTTTCTGTCTACCCCATTATCACCGGTCTGGGTATCAAGAGTGGAGTTTTGATACTTCTATAAAGGGTACTTGTATAGCTTTTACTGATGGGCTGCTGGGGGCTACAGTCTTACTTTCTAATTAGAACTGAATTACTTTCTAATTAGAAAATAACTAATGAAAAAGTTATACAACAATACAGGCCATACATTTACAACATCATTCTAAACTTTAAAAAAATGCTCTTGGTACCAATTATTATCCGGATTATTGAATCGAACAAAATATGCCCACTGTGATTTATCTTTATGTATATGTTGATTCCCAGTGCCTCCGAGCCCCACGTATAGAAAATGTTCACATCATTCTCTAAAATCCCATCTGTCTGCTCTCATTTCTGGGCTTGGCAGCCCTCTTTTATCCTTGTTCCTTCCCTTTCCTTGACTCCATCTCCTGCAGTACTCCTGCTAAATTTACCTCCCCTTTCTTTCTGCCAAGTCGGCCCCGCTGTCATGCCTCTGTCACGTCTCTGCAGTTCAGATTCTCACTTCTCTTTGTCATCACACCTGCCTCTTCGTGTCCTCAGTTTCGCTGCCTTCACCGTAAAACCCAAAGCAAATTACGCTGTACATGTAACTTTAGTGTTTTCACTGGTCTTTACAGTAACTCAAATTTATTCTCAGTGTTCTGACATCACACCTGTTGACGCTAATGTTGACCTATACTTTAATAAAGATTTAAGTGAGTGCATTCAAAAGAGATGCAGTGATGTTTTTTTTCTTCTTCCTGGATGATGATCTTACTACCATACTTTATAAACCTATAGTTTCAAATGCTCCTGATTTGCCTTTTAATTCTCAATTTCAGCTTCAGCACTGCAAATATCAAGAAAGTTAGCTTTTATCAACTTAGGTCTAGTTAATTTGAGCATTTTTAAAATTGTATTTATATATTTGTTGGGAAACACTGCGCAGTGACAAGTTTCATAGTTTAAATGGTTTGGGAGGGGGTAATTAAACAGCTCTTGTACTCTGGCTCTGCTGCTTTACAATGAGAGTCACATATTTCAGTAATGTAGTGTCACATTGTTTATTCATTACTTCTTTTCAGCTTGCAAGGGAGTGGAATGGTTTCTTTCTCTCGCTGGGTTGCAGGCCAATCTCGTTACAGATGCATTTTTCATGTTTTAATGAGTGGTTCACATCATAATAAAATTTACTCCCAGCTGGAAAAGTACATTTAAATAATGAATAGAATAATAAAAAAAAGGGGGGTTGAGATCAACATTCCGCTGAGAAGTCATATTTACGAGCTTATAGGGAGATGAGGTGGTGTGTGGTTGATTGCTTATAAGATTCTTAGGCATAAATAGTGAGCTACATTTAAACAAAACACCTAAAATAACTCACAAATCTTCCGTTTGCTGATATTTATCATAGCCATGCATGCAGAGTGAGAGTTATGGTAAATTAGCAGCCAAGGTTGGTGTGCATGTCACCTTGGCTTTAAATTTACCATAACATTTCAATTATGGCCAAAGAAGTTTTTTTCTTTCTTCCCAAGAGTAAATCAAGCAGGATTCTGAGAGGTCTTCTCTTTGTAAGAGCTTTAACCCCAGTTTATTTCAAGCTTTTAAAGATGCAGCAGGGTTCTGATATGCAAAGGGACAATAAGAAATAACTAAACCCAAGCAAACTTTCTTAATAGTTTGGTAATAATTTGGTGCAAGTAGTGCTGCATATATTCATTCTCCACGTGAGTAAACTGTCAGTGCAGTGAGGAAGGCGCACTTTTTCTTCAAAGTGCTTCTGTAAAAAGGGAAGAAAAAAATATCTTGGTTGCTTGTTAATATCCACATGACTTTAATGTAATGGTAGGATCTTTAAATGCAGTTAAAGAATAATTCAAAATGAAATTTAAAGTTTGTCCTCACCCAGCAGCCAGGGTATGAAGCATAGTATGAAGCATGATACTCATCGTTTATCTCCACACAGGAGAGTTGCAGTCTGTCCACGTTCAACCGGCTTGGGCGTGCAACCATCATTTCTTTATTTTTCTCCTGTTTCAGGAGGCAGACAAGAACATCATCAAGTGGCTGAAGGAGAATGGTCGCCTGGTCAATGCCAGCACTTTCAAACACAGTTACCCCTTCTGCTGGAGGTGAGTCTGCGGTAATCACTGTGCCCTGTATGCCACCTCTCTGCTGTGCCCGTACCATCCTGTAGCCTTTTTTGTGTAATATTAATGTCTTCATCAGTCTGCAGCAGCAGAGTCATGCAGTCCTTCGCTTTCTGGTCACTTCGCTGCTTTTTTTCCCCTCGCCCTCTGTTCGAAAACTCCTGTGAAAGTGGTGGAAAGAGCTGCGGTGTGCCTGCGGTATTTTTATTGAACAGCATACCAAAACTTTACGGCTTCAGTGTAATAATCCGAAGGAGTCTTCTGACATCACGTTGCATTGTCATGACAAACGTGTCGCAGATACAAAGCTGTTATTAACACACTAGACCCGTAGACCGTCTCTGCCCTGACATAGCGGCACAGAAGTAACAGTGATCCACAGAACTCTTCAAATCCTTCTCGAGCAACAGTTTCCAGTTACCATATCCAACCAACAAATGTCATCTATTATGTAAAAAGAAATGGTGACAAATGGAAGTAGTTAAAAAACTGAAGAAAAAAAAACATGGTGCTGAAGATAATTACTGGAGACACTATCACGCCAGAGGAAAGTTGTTTGGGTTCCTATGAACAGCTGGTGATGTATCATTTGAACTGACCACTGCCTTGTGCACTTAAATCTGAATATGTTGTTTGGTTATGCCTTGCTAGATTTCTGCTTCAGAAAAGCAGAAAGAGGATAATTAGTGCACGACACTGGCTCGATCGGTTTGCCACCAGGCGAATGAAAAGCAGGGGGATCTGACTCACTTTTAAGAGTTTCATTTTCACTGCAGGGTATTTAAAAGAACTGTGACAATAGACAAACCTGCTGCGGGGAAAAAGAGTCTGTCACAGTTGTTGGACTTTTTAATCTATCTTTATATCAGTACCCATATTCTATACCAAAAGACACAAAGATGGTTGTTTTCAGGGTAAAGTCCCATGCACTAATGTTGACAATCAGCACATGAAGCCATTTTGTCTGACAGTGCAACTGTCGGGCAGCTGCAGAAATTTTCAGATTTAACATTTGAGTGGACTGAATCACTGTCTCGCTAAGAGCAGCTTCAGGCTGACCTCAGCAGGATTAATTAACCTCAGTAAATATGCAGAGATGTGATCCCTGAGCCACCGGAAGACACGGCTTGTGGAGATTTCAGTGTTGTTATTAACTGTATATCACCAATCTGCTTTCCATATTATCACCAAAAGTTTTACCACACCTTTTGAGAAGTCAAACCCAAATTTTATTTTTATAAAGACAGACGTAGCCAGCCTCCTTACACTTGGATTCTGTTTATTAAGGCTATTTCTGATGCTCTAAGCAGCCAGCATGACACTCCAGTAAGTCACCGATTGCAGATATCACAGATCATCTTTGAAGTAAATGTCGTGAAAAATGTATCAGCTATTGCACAAAAGCGTATATTAGAATATGTAATAAGTAATACGCACGCACAGTATACTCCAACAACTCTGAGGACATGTTTCAGTCATCAGTCAAAAGGAATAGTGTTCAGAACTCAAAGGTTTTATTCATAGTTTCAACAATAACTCTGGTAAACATCTTGCTTTGTGAAGGAATTCATAGACAAGTTTCAAAATCTATAGTTTTTCCTTTTTCCTGAAGAGTTGGGCTGTTGCATTTTATTGATTGCCCTTGTGTTATATGATTTTTTTTTCAGGTCTGACACACCCCTGATCTACAAAGCTGTCCCCAGCTGGTTTGTGAGAGTGGAGCACATGGTGGACAAACTGCTGGACTGCAATGGAAAGTGCTACTGGTAAGCTGGTTCTGAACAAAGGCATAACTAGCATGGAGTAAAGTGATTGTAAAGCATCAGCACAGAGCGCTTTACCAAAGCAGTGGTCTTAAATGCTTGAAGTCATGAGAGACAGCAGGTGCAGTCCCAAAACAATTGCCTCCTCATCTCTGCACCGCTGCCTCAGGTTGTGGACCGGTCTCTGTAGGACAGCCATCACAGGGGGGGGAAACTTTGAATGCGTAGGTAATGGATTCACTGGAAGTTGTTGCGGTGCCCTCACGAGATTTTTCATGACACGAGGTTAAAATCCTTATCAAGGCATTTTATAACAATGCTTGTGGGATTGTCATTTCATTTAAAACATTAGCACGATGCTAATTGTGGGGGAGAAAAAGGATGCATCAGCATGATGGCTTTGCTAAGTGGTTTTACCCATGGAGCTCCCAGTGCTCTTTTCTGAGCCACAGTAGCTGCCTCTGGTAATGGGACTGTCAAACTGAGATGAATGACTAGCTGCGAGGAAGGGGAAGATGCACAGACACGTGTACGCCGAGACAGAGACACACAAACCACTTTAAAGGCTGCAGCTTTTATCCAAAGGACAGTGGAGTTTCATACAGTCAGTTGCTGAATTATAAGGTAAAAACAGCAAATATGGATCTGATTTATGGAAAGCTAGTCCGTACAGCTTAACCTGATTTATTATGACTGACTACTATAAATTAACTAGTGGTAGTAGAGGTAGTAGAATTCAACCAAACTGGAGTCTCTACAACGACCTCATAATCATAAATGTTTTTATTTTACTAACAGTTTGTCTAAAGGAAGTTGATAAATTGCATTGATTGATTAAAACCAGTGAAACCCCAAGAAGTTGAAATCATCATCTAACAAAAAAAAAAGTGTGAGGTTTTCTTTTAATATCTTGGTTGATTCAACACAAACATTGCATCAGGCTTAAAAGATGATCTGAATAGATTTAGTTTGGTTAATAAAAATATATCATAATTACCCATTCTTGGATTCTAGTGTGATTAAAATAACACGGGCTAAACTAAATGTGTTATAGCTATTTGTTTTATTTAAGACCAACATTTCAAGTACTTTTTAGGCTTCCTGTTAAAACTTTATCAAACATCTTTCTGCTTGTGTTACTTCAAATTGTAGCTGTTACTCTGTGGTTTTTCTAATTATGCCAATCATCCCAGTCTAATGATGATTATTTATCTAGTATATTTCTATTTATTATCCTCCACTTTCTAAAGCTTCTTTCGTCTGTTTCACCGGCCTCCTTCTCAAGATCGTTGTGAAACAGAAATATTTTGAGTATTTTACAGCTACAGGAAGTTCCTGATTTCTAAAAAACTATCCCTAGTTGAGAGTCGAGCCTGCGTCTGACTGTAACAACTGAATTAATCAGTGCTCAGAGCAGGGGAAGCTGAGGTCTTCAGAGCCTAGAGGTGAAACACTAGGTGATACACACTGTCATGATTTTAGCACACTAATTCTTAATAAAAAGACAGAAAAAAAGGTCATAATGAACTGAACCTGCAATTACTTTGTTTACATTGGTGAAAAATCTGGAATTTCTTTTTCCTCTATGTTCAGAGCAGGAAAACATCAATACATTTGTACATCAAGCATAATATAGATGTAAACATAGATCTTTAATATATGTTTCTCCATTCTCCACTCGTTTATATTCTCTAGCTCCGCCGTCAATTGTAAAAGTTGGTCACAAAGATACAGAAGGAGCTTTTGCCGTTGCCACGGGTTTCAAGTGTCCGTTTATTCTATTAGAGCCCAGATGTGTAGTCGAGTCAATATAAGAATGTCTGTCCTCGATGAAAATCAGACTGATCTGATCTGAATCAGTTGGAATGGATTTTTGATCAGATCAAGTGAGGCAGTGTAAAGCATTTGAATAATGGTATCATTCCCACATTTGCTCTGTGAATTGTGCTCCTTCCTCCCATGTTCTCTCCACGGAACCTTCTTTTGTTGGGAATCTAAGATGTAAGAATGGTGATTAAGATTGAGAACTGATAAAAGTCCTTTCAGGTTGGGTTGGTCCATTACTGACCGTAAATTGAGTGAGGATATCTCCCTCTCTGTGATTCTTTCGCGGGATCCTGGCCTGCTTCGATGGGGCATCGAGCAAATGTAGCAGCAAAGCTCCACTTTCAGCATCTGCTTGTCTGCAGAGATCAGGAGATCTAGGCCTACGTCCTAGTTAATTTGGACTGATGTTGAGAAGTCTAAATGTTTCTATTTCTTGTGATATCTTTTCTGCGGCTTGTCAGGCACACCCTCGTTTCATATGTGCAAAAGATTTCTGTCAGTGTGAAGAAGCATTTGTCCATGTAAAACCTGCTATTGTGGGATATTTTTAAAATATAATATTGATTTAAAGAAAAATAATCTTAAACATATAGAATTTAGCTCTATGTGTTGGACTCTACTTCTTTGCTATGTTTGGAATGTACAAACTGAAGCAGAAGCATCTAAAACAAGCTCCCACCTTAAAACCACAAATCTGCTAATACTTCGAAGCTTGACAGTCCTGCTTAGCTTTGTGACATTCACTGTTGATAAAATTAGTCATTTAACCTTAAATTAATTCTTGGTTTCTTTATTATCCCTATCTCCACTTCAGCCCCCATCATGACCATACCCTCTTTTCTTATAATTTTTTATTTTCTTAATCCACTCCCATTGTGTGTGACTTAGTACCAGGGCCTGAACGTGTTGAATAACTCCTCTGTGTCCCGAGCACACCTTAAATTCTTCATTTAGCATGAGCTGAGGGTGAGGGGAGGGTGAAGAATGGAGGCTTGGTGTTCAGCAGCAGCAGAGGGGGGAAAAATCATTAAATTGATGTATTAGGGGCCTAAATAGAAATGCCTCCTACAAACGGGAATTGATGAACTCTTTGCTTAGCACGTGGTGACGATTTATGCTCCCCACTGTTGTTCTGAGCTGCACGGACTGGCACAGCAGGACAAAGAGAAGGAAAAAAATACATGCAAGAAAAAATAGGAGATTGAGAGATGGGAGATTAAAGCCCTGGCAAAAGGAGGGGGGCAGAAAGGAGAAGAAGGTGGTAAAAGTAGGAAGATGCCTTAGAGGGAAAGTTAACCTTTTCAGCAGAGCATTTTAAGAGGGATACTTGATGTTTATTCTCAAAGCTTACTTTTTTTTATTAGAGAAATGTACTGCACAATGATTCACAGTGGTAGTTTCTTCAAGGAGGGATTTTCTGAGAGAATCCAGTGTTACATCTGGCATCTTGAAATGAATAAGGCTCCGACAAAATGCTAAAAAATTACCCTTTATAATGTTTTCCCAAGCTCTTGATCTTCACCTTGTAGGAAACCACTGTGGAATTTGGGGTAGATGTTGGGAGAAATGAAGAATTCATGCTGTGAATCCTTAATTTCTTAATTTTAATATATAAATATATATGTATTGGTTTTCCTGCTTCGGCTGCTGCCCCCGCGACGATGATGCCATCCTATTCTGATTATTTTAAAATTCATTCATCTTTAAAGTTTAGGTTTTTCTTCTGTATAAAAACAAAATGTGTTTTCTGGCTTTATGATTAAAATTAAGCCTGGCAAGGGTAGCTGTGTTCTTTGTTGATGTTTCTATAAAAAAGGAGTCGTGAGTGCTCAACTTCTAGATGTGTTCCTCAGAAACATGTAACACCTTGGCCGTGATGAAGGGTTCTTTGCCTTTTGAGTTGATTTGTTGTAAAAAAAAAAAGAAAATAATTATTTCAAGTGATGTTTTCAGAATTGTTCTGGAAAGTGGTGCAATTAATCTCTTAGAAAGTAGCTCTTGTTTGGTTAATGTATGCTCATGTTGGCTAGGTAATGAGGGAAGGTTGATGCTTCCAGAAAAAGAAGAAAAAATTAACCTGTTCCAAGTGACTAGTTTACATTTGACGCTGTAGTTTTGAATTATCCTTCAATGAGGTTAAAGGAGAAAAACATTCCCGATGTCACATCAGGTAAGAGTTTTGAGTTGTTTTTTTTTAATAAATCCACTCACAACTTTCAAAATGTATCCTAATCTGTTTCTGCAGGGTTCCAGAGTTTGTGCGTGAGAAGCGTTTTGGGAACTGGCTGAGAGATGCACGCGACTGGGCCATTTCAAGGAACCGTTACTGGGGCACACCAATCCCCCTCTGGGTCAGCGAGGATTTTGAGGAGGTCAGGAAAACGTATACAATAAATGCATACAGAGTCTTCAGTGGTGCTACTGCATCTTTTTACGCTGTACAGATTACTCAGTTTGTCTTTGTCACGACCAAACACCAAGATACTTCATCCGTAATGAGGGAGCTTATTGGAGCATTGGCAGCACACAGTTCTGTCTGGGCTAACTTTGAGGGGGCACGACTGAGAAAATGTCACTCACTGCAGCTCCTACTTTTACTTCCCATGACAATGTGGTCTGAGATAAGGTCTCTTGTATCTTAGCGGGGGAAGTTTGGTCTGCGGCATGAGCAAAAGCATAAGCCCAGTTCTTTTCATAGATATGAGGCTGAAAATATCTCTTTCTGACCTCTTTGACACTGACATAATTTTGAATGTAGCCCAGTTCAGCATGTGGAGGCATGTGTAGGGGAGACTTTTTATCATGGCAGAGAGGGGTGATGGTGGTGCTTTAGACAGAGTGTAGCCTGACTGTGCTGCAGTCAGTTAGCTCCCCTTCTGCACCGTTATGGAGTGCCCCCATGAACTCAGCACATGAATGATTCATTAATAGAGAGAGCAAATAAAAATGTATGGAAATGTGTTTGGTTTTCCCTCATGCACATTAAGGCAACTTCAAAGGTGCTCAAGACAAACCAATATTGAAAATTGTTAATAGGAAAAATGTGTCAGGCGTTAAAGCGGCAGCTGGAGGACGAGAAAGAAAAGGGGTAAATCACCCCAAGAATGAGGAGGTGGAAGATGAGAATAAATCGATGAGTGAGGGAAAAGAGGCATACAGTGGAGAAACAAGCCAAACTTTAAATGTTCATTTTATTATTGATATTTGTTGCCAAACTGGGCTGACTGTGTGAAGTAGACTGAACTGAATAGAGATGTCAGAATTGGGTTATTTGAGCGTTTGAAAAATGAAGCGTTGGTCCCCTGGCTGAAAGAAGGACAGCAAGCGACCTGCTTGCTGGAAATAGCATTGTGACTGTTTCCAGAACACTTTCACTCCCTGGTGCCTCCCTCACAAACCCCTCAGCTTTAAACCAGCCTCTCATATCTAAAGTAATAAGCATCTCTCTGTCGGTTTCTAGTCTGTGTCGGTATCTTCCTTTTATGTTCTATTTCTCTCAGTCTGCGGCTTTTTGGGTATGTTTGCCTTTACTATGTCTTATTTAGCATCTGACTATGGTGCAAAAGACTGTATCTGGGCCACGTTACCTGGTGCTTTGCTGAAAGTAGAGCAGAGCCTACAGGTTATCTCTCTGAGGAGCCCGATAGCACACTTTATCACACTTTATAAGGTGGAGTTACTCCGGAAGTGTGTTGAAGAGGCCCTACTTAAGCTTCTGTTTCTGATTCAGAAGTCCAAACGCAATTAACATTTAATCAGGACAATAAAGCATTTTCTTTCAATGGACAAATGATCCTGCTGTAGTTTAAAGAAAATAAAACTGATTAGATGGAGCTTTTACTCTCTCTCTGTCAGTGCAACACATCTTCATTATCCAACCCTGTATTTATTCAAATGAGCACTGTGGAAATTAAAATTGAGTTGAATTCCTTATGTTCAGCGGATTACATCAATTCTGTCATTTAGTATCTGTTGAGCTTATTATTTGATTATGTGTAAGCAAACTGAACCATGTGTTTGATGTACGAATGACTCTCCCTTATTTAGGAGTGTTTTTTCTACTGAGCGTTGTTCTGTGCTTATTCTTCGTGTGTATATGTGCGTTCATCAGGTGGTTTGCGTCGGATCGATGGATGAACTGGAGGAGCTAACTGGAGTCAAAGTAACAGATCTGCATCGGGAAAAGTGAGTCACAGTTCAGCCCATTTGTGTCCCTGTGACTGCAGCATGACTGCAAATTCACACACTGCATGTGTGCTCAGGGACCAAAATGTAATATACTTTACATTTAGTCTTATTCATATGTGCATCAGAAAATGGATATAATTTTACCTATGCCCTTCATTGATTAGGCACTTCGGTTTGAATCAAAGGAGTATTGTGTCCCATCTTAACGCTTTCATCCATCATTTACCACTATCAGTTGCTTCTATCTGACAGGTCATCTTTAATTGACAGAGAACGATGCCCCTCTGATTAGGTTCCTGTTTTCATGCAGGGCAGAAAAAAACTTGTAAAAGTTACCTAAATATTACTTGGCAACTTTCAAGATTTGAAGATAGAGTTATTGTTAAGAATTTTTAATCAATTCTCTTAGTCATCTGAAATACAAATGAATGAAGATCTTACATAACCTAACAAAGGCTGATTGGATTTTTTTTGTTTAGTTAGTTTAAGTTGAGGATTTAGGTTGTTTCCACAAGAGCTTAATTAAGCCTAATTGTCTCTTAATAACGTTGTTTGTAATGTACCCATGATGTAAAATCTGGAACACCCAGAGCAGTTTTTTCTACCGATAACCCATCATCAGCGTCACTAATACAAATCTTTATAGGTTTTTTTTTTGCCTCTCACTTTCTGTGTCTGTTGATCTGGGCTTATTAGATGGGCAACCACAATGGCTTGAGGTAGAACTCGAATCTCATTTTAAATATAATAATTCAGATTTTTCACGAATGACTCAAATGAATCCAACCATATCATGAGCTTTTTTTTTTAAAACTTCATCACAAGTACATTTCATCTGTATAATCAGCATGGAGGAAACTGGTCAATAGGTTAATACTTAATATTAATGGATTCCCTCTGATGGGCACACTGTCAACTGCAGAGTAAAATGTTAAGTGGTTTGCTACTAAAGGTAATAGCTCTGACTGCATTGTAGAGCATCTCAAATATGTAAAAATAGCACATTAATCTAGAAACAAGTACTAAACATGTCCCTTCTTTTTTGGAAAAGCTCCACTGAAACACTTTGTGTTTCCTCAGCGGGTCCACTTAGAGAAGATACTTAGAGAAGCAGGGTGCCTCTGCGGATTGGATTAGATTGCAATAGAGAAAGTAAAACTGCTCTACAAACCTTAAGATTTTAATTAAATATTGAATACAAATCACAAACATGCATTGCATCATGTGGAAGTGATCAGTCTACTTGGTATTTATAGGCACCTGAATATGAGCAGGTTAACCATTTCCCTCTTCCAGGGAATTATGCACGACATTGTCTGCACTGCAGCCTGGATGCCCAGAAAAGTTGTGTGCAATAGTTTAAAAGCCTGTTAGTCCGTCAGTCTCAACAGCTGACCTTTTTTTTCCCCCCACTCCCTCCATCTCTTCTTCAGCATTGACAATCTGACAATCCCCTCACGGTGTGGTAAGGGTGAGCTGCGGAGGGTCACCGAGGTGTTCGACTGCTGGTTTGAGAGTGGCAGCATGCCTTACGCCCAGGCTCACTACCCGTTTGAAAACAAGAAGGAGTTTGAGGACACCTTCCCAGCAGACTTCATCGCTGAAGGCATTGACCAGACCAGGGGATGGTAAACCGGATGAATGAGTGGATGAATGGGAGTTGAGCGGGGGGGATAAATGAAAAGAGAGTGATGGATGGGGAGGAGGCAGCGGCCGAGACCGATGACGATAATGAGAGAGGGGCATAAATGGATGTGCCGAGAGACAACTGAAAGTAAACAATCTCAGTCCAGTGGTTAACCAGTTGATGTCACATTTGTCCTCCTTCCTTGCTGCAGGTTCTACACTTTACTGGTCCTCTCCACGGCTCTGTTTGGAAAACCGCCCTTCAAGAATGTCATTGTTAACGGGCTTGTGCTTGCCAGGTCAGTTCAAGTAATTAATAACCCGCTGCCTGTGATATGAAATTTCATTAAAGGACTATACAAATTGAAAATTAAAATAATTTTCCTTCTGGAATCATGCTTTTGAGGGTCAGACTTCAGTCCCCAAAAACCTATATATTAAACACGTTTAACATCCAGTGCTCTATGCTATTAATGTAAAGTTTAATGTCAGATATGAGTGAATGGTCCATTTAGCTGTTGCTTGCTTTTTAAAATGATCATTGCATGTACATTCACTTCTGGACAGAAAATTAGTCAATAAACTACAGAAATGCTGGATAAAAACTGCCATCAAATTTCAATAGACCCCTTATCATTGCACAGTGCTGTTGTAATTCCAATAAGTTGGCATCTTTGGTTTGAGAGCCCTGAAACCATTTGGGAATCATCTAAACATTAAGACCTTCAGTGAGAAGGAACCCAGCAGGTTAAAACTCATGGCAGGAGTTTCGGTTTACAAAGAGGGTTATGAAAGTGCATCTCCTCTATTCTATTATCTACCTGTCCATTATACCCTCGTATTTATTCTGGTCTCACTCATGATTACGCCTTAATGCGTGCTGCGGCGTTCAGCCGTCAGAGTGGCCCTACAACAAGGCTGCTTGTTCTCAGCCTCAGGCTCTGAATGCAGCACGGAGCTCACAGGCCTGCTGACCTGGAAGGACTTGGCTAATTTGAATACCAAGTGTGTGGTTTTCCATCATGCTGCTTTGTGCACGCATGCATGTTTATGTGTGCCAATGCCTTTGTATGTCTTGTTCCTCCAGCGATGGCCAGAAGATGAGCAAGCGTAAGAAGAACTACCCAGATCCAGGACTGATTGTGCAGAACTATGGGGCCGATGCCCTCAGGTCAGCTCTCTTCTCCCGTGTAACGCTGTTAAAGGGTTTTTTCTCGGCAGTCAGTTGCTTTGTTGGGTGCTACCTCGTGTCATTAGCACACAAGGTTTTTAGATGGTTTGAATCGCTGTCCACATTTAACGTGGAACTTTTTATTTCCCACATAGTTTGCACCCTCTCATGCACACTGTACAAACACTTGTCCTCCTTAGTACATTATCTTTTTTGCCCTGAGCAAGAAGAGATCTACTTTCCATATGGCCCAATGAATAAACCACTATGCTGTTGCACCATATGCTCACATATACACTCAGGAAGAGCTGCCGAGATGAAGGGAAGAAGGCGGCAGAAATGTTTATCTTTTATTTTTTTATTTGTTTTTTTCCTCCTCGTGAAATATGTTCTCACTGTATACACACACTGACACTGTGAGCAGACCAAGTATCAGACAAATATGTCCACTGTGAGGCCTTTTCATGTGTTTTTATGCAAGAAATCTTTCAGCTCTCGATAGTTATATATTTTCGGACTTTTGCCTCAAATGTTTCTCCGTGTTGCTATGAAAATCACTCGTAGCTTATTGCAAAAGGTTGCATCATTTCGGCCTCCAGAATCAGAGCAGGAACACCACCTTTGCCAGCCAATCAAATAGGAGTCTACAACTTTGTTTCTCTTTTGGCCATAAATAGCAGTTTTTTTCTAGATATTCCGTGTTTACACCTCCTCCTCCTCTGCGCTTTGCTTGTGGCAGAGAAATCGATCTCAGCACATCCTGACGGATGTCTCAATTCCTAAAATGCATCTAGATTTTAGAAGGAAGAGGCTGCCAGAGACGCTTGAAGTGAGCATTCACACATATTACTTTTGAAATGTGCCAGCTTAAATAGAATGAAACAAAGTGTGTAAAGCAAAAAACCTTTTCTTCAAGTCTCTGTCAGCTGATCCCACTCCACTTGAATAATGTTGAGGTCTGGGTTCTGGTGAGGATTCATCATTCCATTAAACCTGTTGTGTTAAGTTTTTGTCATGTTGCATGCCCCAGCATCTCCCCCCATCTTTCCTCATGAATGGCTTCCATTTCTGATGAGGCTTGAGTAATGGTCGAAAATTAAACGGCCTGCCACTTCTTTCAGTTCCACTCTTTCAGTTCTTTAAAGATTTAAGGACACTACGTATCACGCTATGTTATTAAACATTTATGGCTCATAAAACTTTATATTAATTACTTTATTTCATGTGTCACACTTAATCTTGTATGTTTTTTGTAGATGTAAGTGAGACAAGGGAACAAATGATCTGCCTGAGACAAATTAGTTTATTCTAAACACGACACTTCTTACCTATTGTTTGGTCTTTTTATGAAGTACAGATCCCTATTTCCCTGAAAATGGTTTCATTGTATTTCCTGTACACGTAAAGTCCTGCCGAATGATGCTAGCCTTAAATCCTCCAGTCAAAAGGTCAAATTCTCACCAGGACATCACAGCTGACTTTGGACCACTTTTCTATTTTACATTCCTGTATCTCTTTAACCTAAAATCATCCTCCTTTTCCCCTCTTTTTTAAATTTTTTAATTTGAGTCTGACCTACAAATAAATCGAGCTATCACCAGTCCGCGTGCATACATTTATCTCTTTGTCCCTGAGGCCTGTAATTCATCCCTGAACACTGTATTATCTCATCATCAAGATCAGATCAGACACACACACCCAGTGACTCCTTCTTTCTCTGTCTGCAGGCTATATCTCATCAACTCACCTGTAGTCAGAGCAGAAAACCTGCGTTTCAAAGAGGATGGTGTGCGAGATGTGTTGAAGGATGTCTTCTTGCCGTGGTATAATGCCTATCGCTTCTTGGTGCAGAACGTTCAGAGGTTACAGAAGGTACATTAGTCAAAGATCTAACTGCTTTCCCCCTTCATCTCTTTCTCCTCTAAAAGGCTAAGTATGCTTTGATAATATGACAGATGGCAGATGATATTAACTATTGAATTCTTTGGTAATTATTTGTGTGAAGAAATTGCAGTTATTTAAATGAATTTGTGCTGTAGGGGCAGCGCTAATAACTTAACTAATGTTCTCAAGTGCTGGGATTGCAGCAAGATTGCCGGAATAAAAGGAAAAAAACACTGCACCCCTTAATTTTCATAATTGGACTGAATAGATTAGATTTTTTTTCCTTAGTCTTGGAAAAAAATCCCATCGGGAGCCAAGGCTGCATAGATAAAAAGCAATTTTTTTCTGTAAAGAAAAATGACCAAATTAATAGTTAATGAATGTGTGCTTCCGTCCACAGCTACTGAAAAAGTTGACATATGGTGGTTAATGGTTTTTGATCATTATTTTTATTTCTCTGCCATGATATGATTTTTTAAAAAGAGACGACAAATGGCGAGGCCATTAACTGAGATCAGTAAAACAAAATTAAAAAAATGCATAAAAAATCAAGAGATTCATTAGTAAACATGCAGGAAGTTTTCACTCTTCCTTCATTTATCTTCATTGAATAACAATGTCTAACTTGATCTAGTGTGCATTTGGCAGTCAAAGAAGTGATTCAAATTGAGAATTGGAGAAGTAGATTTTTGTATTTTGTATTTCCACTGATCAAACTGCAGCAACAGATGGGTTTTCTATTTGTGGTTTGGATTGCGGCTTCCACGTTTGAAATTAAAGGCCTGTTTTTTACTTCTTGACATTACATAACTGCCTGTCCTTTAGAGAGAATGGATTCAGTGTTTCTTTGTGCACGTGTCAACATTTTTAGGAGGATGAGATTCAATTAATGTACAACGAAAACACCATGAAGCAGAGTGACAACATCATGGACAAGTGGATTCAGTCGTTCACACAGTCCCTAATTCAGTTCTTCAAGGCTGAGATGGAGGGTGAGACTTGAACTTTTCCCTTCAACCCTTCAACCTGCAGTCATTGTCTGGCAATTAATCTTCATTATACATGGGTTCAGAAAAGTTTTGTTAACCCAATTCATCAATATTAGGTCATGTAGAAATGTATTTTATTAAAAAATGGAAAAGCTTTCATTTTTAATGTTTGATGAAGTGGAGAGCTATGTCCTGAAAGAGCTTTATTAGCTCATTTCGTAAGTGGCATAACTGTGGATGGGAAATTGTAAATACCTGAGCGTTTTTTAACTTTCAATGTATTATGAGTCAATTAAATTCTATATTCCAACCCTGAAATGTTATTCACCTTACCCCTTTGTTAGTGTTGTTAAATTTCATGAACCTGGCTGTTTGTTCTTGTTGCAGCTTACCGCCTGTACACCGTCGTGCCTCGCCTGGTCAAGTTTGTGGACATGCTCACCAACTGGTACGTCAGGACCAACAGACGCCGCCTGAAGGTAAGAGCACAACTCTAAATGTATGCTTGCAGACTCCAGAGAGATCTATATTTAGTTTGTCTAGGCAATAAAAACTAGGCAATAATCTTAAAACTGTATGAAAAGCATAAAGTAAATAATCCATTTGGTCATCAGAAAAAGTAAAGTTAAACTTCTGGGAAGTGACTTTATCTTGTCCTTCAGTTTTGTTTTTTGTTCAGTTCAGTTTTTTGTGGCCCTGCTTGTGAACATTTGGTTGACTTTGACTGGGGGCACTTTAGCTGATATCTGTGACAGCATCTTTATATTTTTACCTCCCAAAGGGAAAAGGACTTATTGATGTGAGTATGTATGTGAACTTTATAGGGAGAAAGTGGTAGTGAGGACTGCCTGTGGGCGCTGGAAACCCTCTTCAGTGTTCTCTTCTCCATGTGCAGGCTGATGGTGAGTCATTTGGTTTGTATCCGTGTGAGCTCAAGAGAAAAAAAGCAGTTGTATGGTGGAAATTACACACGGTGAGGTTTTGCTTTTTATGTGCTCAAGAAACAAAAGCACAACGCTGGCATGGAAGAGGTGTGTTTGTGTGCTTGTGTGACTATGAATAATACATAAGCAGTAGGAGATTTTATTTATAACGCATTGAAGATGTTTGTGTGTGAGCATGAGGCATGCTAAGAGGCAGTTAGCCTCACTGAGATCAATACAGATCCGCTGTGAGCAATACAAATTAATTAGCTGTGGTAGCAATGGAGAAGAATTACATTAGATGAAACCTCACCATGGCACAAATCTGTTTGAACTTTTGCACCAATTGATAGGGAAAAAAGCTCCAGAAAAAACATGCCTCAGTCTTGGAGACCCTTCATCTTTTACAATGTAAATTAGCCACAGTGCTGATAACCTACGGTAATAGTCTTTTTGCATTCCTCCTCTCTGTCTGCTTGCTTTTCCCTCGGGTTTCTGCCCAGGCTCCCTTCACACCCTTCATTACAGAAATGATGTATCAAAATCTGCGGCACCTCATTGACCCCGCCTCCATTGAAGAGAAAGACAGCAACAGCATCCACTATCTCATGCTGCCTCACGTCAGGTGGGAAAAATTCCTTCAAGTAATCAGCATTGTCCCCAATCAGTTTTATCAATCTGTTTTCTTTTTCTTAAACATTGAAGTCTAGGGTCCATTTTTGCATAATAAACCTTAACATTCACCATATGTTCAGAGTTAAAATCAAAATGCGTGGATTTCTGAAAAAATTCTGAAAAAAAGGCTTGTTTTAGTGGATATACTTTATAAGAGAATTCAGGCTCTTTGCAGAGACACAACATCCACGCCAAATAAGTTAGCGGTTTCTGGGCCAAAAAATTTAGATCAGCTGTTCTTTTTTGGAAAAAAAAAGCGTGCTGGTCAGATGTAGTAAATTTCCTCGTGGGACTAAACACAAATCTAAATTCGGAAAAATAAATTATATTCTGACATTATTTGGCGTATCACCCCTAAATTCATGAGATGGCCCTTTCCTGCAAGTTCCACCCGGGCTCTGCTTGACTCGAATTGGCTCCTTTTTTGTTCTTTTCCATCACGATTGAGCACAACAGCATCATCAGTGTGAGTGGGGTTTTCACGGCAAGGCGGCCTGAATATCCCATGACGTCATTTGTATGAAATAAAAACTCAACACAACGATGGAGCACCGATAATATACCTGCTGCACTTTGTCGTTGGACCCTGGTTTCAGTTTGTTTAGAGCCACTGAGCACATTGATTATAACTGAAATACAAAACCACACGGCTACTGTTGCCACATATTTAGAAAATATGGTCTATTCTCCTGCAAAGAAGTGGAAATAATCAGTGGCCCAGGAGGATGAATTGAGTTCCAAGAGTTACATTTTTTCCTGGACCAGGTTTTCAACCTAGTGAAATGAACAAAGGTTATAGGGTACAAATGGCTGTGCTTACCACACAGTGCTGTGCGGATTGCACTGCATTCCCACCCACTTTTCTCAGAGGATATCAACTGCTTATTTGGACCCTAATCAGGTTCAGCCAAAGTGCTTGGCCTTACTTTTCCCTGACTGCATTGCACTCTGAACCCCCCTGAGTATAAGATTTTGAAGCTCAAGAGGTCGCAGTAGCTTGTAGATGTCTGACTTTTTCTTTGTGTCTTAGCCAACGCATTCCCAATTTTCTGCCATTTCAAAGCTTTAACCTCCACCCATTTTTTCTCTTATAACCATGGAAAGTTGTTGTTTTTAGGGTTGATTTATTTGGGGAGATGTTCACTGTCGGATTTTTAGTGTTGAATGACTTTTGCTGCACTTTCTATCCAAATGATAAAAGTAATTCAGACACGTTGTAAACCGACTCAAAGTCAGTAGGGAGATTCAGGTCATCTCTTTGAGATTTACAGGCATGCGTCCACCCATTTGGGGGGCACAGAAGTACTTTGACAGAATTACTCTGACGCTGTCCTCATGGTCTGCCCTGCAGAACGGACACTACTGATGAAATATGATTTCATTCCCTTCACTGCATTTACTTTAGTGAAATATGTGCTTTGGCAGCTGATCTGTTTTGAAATGCCTGGGAGGAATTTCTAATTGCCCAAACTTAATTGCATCATCTTTAACTATATAAAAAAAGAAGTATGGCTTATTAAACATCCATTTGATATTGCATAAGGAAAATAGTTTGGGTTAATAGATCATATAATCTGTGCTGTCACTAAAACAGCCCCCAGTGCTGCGGCTGTACAAGCTGCTTGTCCTTCCTGCTGTTGGATGGGAGTATTTCAACCCCCACCCCCCCGGAAGGTCAGTTTCCAATCAGCCGGCGGGCGCTGCTGCTCCTCAATCACCTCATTAAATGATTGGCTGTCACTGCCGACTACTCCCCCTCAATTTACTCCAGTGTGGTGCACATATTTTGAGGGACATACTGTACAAGTGACTGAACAAGCAATGTGGCGGGACACACATGCAGCCTATCAGCTCACAGGAGGTTGGGGGTAATATCACCATCATTTTTAATTATCAGTGGCTGTTCAACTTTAATTTGAATCCAGAGGTCTCAGTGTCCCTTATTAGTAGATGTTCCTGTTATAAAGTGATATTTTCTTGAGGTTGTCTGCCTTTGCATGGGGTGCAGTCCCTGCTTTATCTGTTCTCCTCAATAGGTGACTCATCTTAATTTGTGATTCTCAATTAGCAAGAAGGGGAAGATGCCTGTCCCTGAAGTTTCACAGAATGCAAACTAATTACGGTAAAAGAAGAATGAGTTGGTCCCATTAAAAGTACGAGATCGAGGTCAGATGGTATCTTTGCCAAAGCATAAATTAAAACCCAGCCATATTTGAAGTGGAAACTTGAAATCTTTTGTACCTGTTTTTTTATGATTTAAATCCACAACCCCCCCACTCCTCCCAAGATTTCTGATGTGGGTTGTTATAATGTTTCTAATTAATATGCTGATGGTCCACGTTTCCTGTCTGGTGCCTCTGCTTTTTAGGGAGAACTTGATTGACAAGCGCATTGAGAGTGCAGTCTCTCAGATGCAGTCTGTGATTGAGCTGGGGAGAGTGATTCGAGACAGGAAGACACTGCCCGTCAAGGTATAGCACCATCCACTTACATTTTACACAGCAACTATACGTTTTTTTCTACAGTAGTGGGGAAAAAAGCCTCAGGTCATTGTTCTCTTACTGTCAATGGATTTTTGAACAAAACTGTACATAGTTTGGAATTGAGCATTGTCATCTTCTGAAAGTTGTCTTGAAACACTACATGATGGATCCAGTTTTGGAAAGACTATTCCATACAAAATTGATTGAATAAAGTTACGCATGATTTCATACCCCATTTCCTTAGATATTTTGATACGTTTTATGAAAGGGTAGGTTCATAAAATGGCCACAAAGTTAAAATGACTATAATGTGGACTAGGTCTGACTTGTGGTCCTGGATAAGGCCTCTTTTCATTCAAATCCTCCATGAAATATTCTATAAAAGTGGACCAAAGTTTTTTTTTTAGTTTTGCTGGGTTAACCATTTCAGCTCTGCGGTTTGCCTTTCAGTACCCGTTGAAGGAGGTGGTAGTTATTCACCAGGACCCAGAGGCCCTGAAAGACATCCAGTCACTGCAGAAATACATCCTGGAGGTAAGTGAACTGTCAGTTGGCAGGTTTACTCTGCTTTGATCAGCACTGTTCATGTTACATCTTAAGAACAAGCATCCCCTCGAACCATGCTTACACTCCAACTCCAAAGCCTCTTCAGTGTGTTGACTCAATAGAGGAGGTGATGACTCAATAGAGGAGGTGAACATCAGAAGGACTACATATTCACACACTGCTCGAATGCTCAGCTGCAATGTAAAGTTTGAAAATTTTACGTCTGTTTTATTTAGTGAAGAGGGTGAAGCCGGATATCTTGGAAAGTGGTTCCCTATTTGATCCGCCTGAGCAGACAGACTTTTAAAAGCAGAGTGCTAACAGGAACATTATGTTTTTCCCACTAGTACAGAAAACCTATTACTCTTGGTGTGCCGTTGACAGCAGCGATTGTGAATAAGCAGCTCGTCTTCAGCTCTTGCCACACGCCTTTTGCACAGTTGCTGAGTTTGGTTTGAAGAAAAAGAAAAACAAGTGTAGATTTGTTTCCAAAGCTTGTCGGGCCCGTTTAAGTGTTCTCAACAGACTTTAAATCATAAACATGACACAGACTTCTTGTAATAGTATCTAAGGGCAGCAGAGCTTTTGTTGCAGCCCGCTTTTGGATTCTGCACACTTACTTTGCTGTTGCCACTTATATATCTCTGTTACTTTCTGGTAGACTAGACATTTTTTGCTACCTTGCAGTGGACAAAGCTAATCCGATCAGAGTATCCTTGCAGCTCAGGGAAGAATCCTCAGACCGTCTGAATCTTACTTAGATTCATGCATAATTGTTTACAGCTATTCCTAATTGATCATTTTAATCCGTATATGTGCCACTGGATGTGATAAAGGAGTTAGCTTAACTTTAGATTGTATACATCTGCCAGAAAAGTCAAACCAGTGTGCATCATGTTTGCATATTTCATGGCTTTAACAACTTGTCCATTGTTTGCCCTTTTTCTGGTGGGAGATCGGTGAGATATTTTAATAACAGGAGAAAAATGTAGACATTTAGCCCCGAAAAAGAAAAGAGGATGCAGCAAATGAAAAATTCACAGCATTCAGGTGTAAATCCTGGGAGGCCCTAATTATATTTTGTTGTTTTTCTTGTGGCCACACACTTTTCTGATGAATAATCCCAGTTCTCAGTAGGAAGAGGTCAGTCGCAGAATGGAGCTGGCTGTCCTTGCCACCTGAATTTTAGCTTTGCTCAGCTTTCCTTCGCTGACATGCCTGATGGCCACTCCGCTGGCGACAGTGTCGGCCGAGCTCAAGATGCTGTGAAGAATATGAATGTATCTGTTCCCTGTGATACACCGACATGTGACAGCTTCCTACGACACCACACATGGACACAGCCATGTTTGTCCTCTGCTTTTTGTGATTAAATCTTATCATGAAAAAGCCAGCTTCTATTTTCAACCCCACACAACCTTTAGCTTCACAACTCAGCCTGTTCCAATAGCCTCTCTGCACTCTGTCAGAAAGTTAAATATGCCAGCGCTCTGTCTCAGCCCGAACAGAAAGAATGATTGACTGAAAGAAGAAGTGGATGACAAGTTTGTCAGTACTTTCTTTCATCTTTATTGCCTCACCACATATGGTTGCAGCAGCGATTTGTTTGTTTTTTTGTTCTTTCAGGGTGAAAACTAAAATGTTTGCCGAATAGGAGGATTGGCTTATTGGAGATTTAAAGATCGACTTAATGATTTCATGACTTACATTCTGTTTTAGTGAATTGTTTAAAAAAAAATCTAAATTACGATTAAGTTTTTTTCAGTAAGTGCTGGAGGTAGCTAAAAGTTGTTATAACTTGTTAGATGGTAGATACTTTGGTCTTGAATTTTCACTCTGTGCTGCTTTTTCTCTTTTCTCTTTGCCACTTTAAAGTAACCCAAAAAAGACAGTTAATTCCAGTTTGAGCTCCCAGGTCTTTCTCTTTGCTCTTCCTGTATGCAGATACTGTATTTTCCCACATTAGCAGAAATGGAAGCTGTAAGATGGCAAGCAAGATTTACATTTACTCTTAATGTTGCAGTTCTTAACTGGTTCCCAGTGTCGTCACAATTTTTGAATTAGTGTTTGTCTTCTGCAAGTGCCTCCGAGCTCATGTGACTCAACTACTCTGTTCCCAGTGGTAACCCCTTTAGATATAGAAGAACTGAGTTTCTGTTTTCTGCAGGCAATTAGAAAATTGTGACTGTATTTTTTCATGACACTGTTTGATTCCTTTATTTTTTTTCCCTTTATCCCCTTAGGAGCTTAATGTGCGACAGCTGACACTTTCAACGGACAAGGACAAGTATGGTATCCGCCTGAGAGCCGAGCCAGACCACATGGTGCTGGGCAAGAGATTAAAGGGGGCCTTCAAAGCTGTGACTGCTTCTATCAAGGAGCTCACCAGCGAACAGCTAGAGGCCTTCCAGAAGACAGGTATTACCGAGTTAAAAAATCTCTTTTTTTAAATCTGTTTTTTTTTTTTAGTGCAAGTTTTTACATCATAGAAATAGCTTTAATAGCTTTAATTCCTATAAGCAGTGTAGTATTTCTGTAGTCACTTTGAACCATGTTCTTTTGCCCCCTTCAGCTAGGACCCAAGTCTCAAAGCCGAGTTATGGTATTTTTAAACCCTGCTTTTAAATGCATTTCGACCTAAGGGCCAGCGTCAAAGGACAAGTGCTTTTTGTTTTGCCACTGACGGGCTCAGATTGCTAAGTGACCAAAGCTGAACACAGAAATCAGCCGACTGGCATTTCTGCAAGGCCAGTCATACGTCCCATCCAGCACAATGTATTTTCACCACATTATATTTATCCATGCTTGTGACTGTTTACAAGCCGATGGCATCTTTTCACTGCAGTTTCATAAAATGGTAGGTTTTCCGGTGTACTATTATGAAATGCTAACAGTTCATGTCTGAGGCTCAGTCATGTTAATTCAAGCCAGAATTTATTGATAAGAAGGAAATTGAAAAGGCAGTTGAAAAATTAAAAGTGAATCCTGTCAAATTAGGGGGGAAATGACCCAAAAAGTGTAATGGAAAAGGACCCAAAATTCTCCTTTTTATTACTTTTTTTGTCCATCTCATTTTATTTGCGGAACCACTAATCTTCCTTTTCCTCAATACAATCAGAGCCTGATCTGAAAAACAACCAGAATATTCCAACAAATGTGTTGTGAATAGTCAGTAAATATTCTCCACGGTTTTGCCAATTTGGCACACTTTTAATTTCAGTCTCTTAACTATCTGAGGCTGTAAGAGGCAAAAACACTTGCTCATACTGATAGTCATAGCTCATAGTCATTTTGCGGTTTCCTGTGACAACGCCATTGGTCTATGTTGGGCTGATTCCATTTTTTTTTTAAATTTCCATGGTAGTTTAGGCTCACAAGAGATGGTGGTGGGGAGCAGGGATGCTGATTATCAAATAATGAGTAACTTAAGAGTTTTCAGTTAGTGTAAACATTGGATTCTTGCAAAAAAGCATCACACTCACACAGTCAGTTTGTGTTCAGAATTCAGTCAGCTCGAGTAGGTATCAAAGCAATGTAAGGTATCATGTCTGTCCAATTATAGAAAGACGAGGAGAGCCCCCAGAGTCTCTGGGGAAGTAGGCAGCTGAGGTCAGCTGGGCTGTGGGAACTTCAGATTTCCAATCATTTGGATGTTTGAAGTCCAGCCAATTGAGTTGGGGTGGGGGTGAATGATGGAAGAGACAAGATGGATCTGGTAGGAAAAAAATGTCAGGAAACAGAGACATGAAAACATGCTCTGTGTAGCAACGTTACAGTATCCAAAACCGACTGTCAAGATTGAATCTGTTTGTATTAACACAGTTCAGTCGATTTCATTTTGGACCCATCTTTGTTTTAGATTATTTTAAAATGGGAATTGGTGGTGCAAAGCAGCAGTGGGCCAGAAACTGGAGTAGTAGAAGATAACCTGAAGTTTGTTTTTAGAACCTTCACTTAATTTACTCTGAGAAAATAGAATAGATTACTTTATTCATCCCCGAAGGGAAATTTGGTTAAAGGGCTGATGAAAGTAATCTAACGTCCTCAGTCAAAGCATTAGTTTAGATATGTCACTGTGGGATAATGTGTGTCCTCCACCAACACAAATAGATCAACCGCAGTGCAGCCAAAACAGATCAACACCATACTACAGTAAACACTGGAAAGCAGCTGTGAGTTGGACATCACTGTTGCCTGCCCGGATTGTCCTCATGAAATCTGATGCTTCTGAGGAATGTTAAGAGGGCCTTATCCCAAAGCGAGATATCGAAACCAGTGAAATAGAGCAGTCTCTGAGGCCATCCATCCATCCATCCATCCATCCATCCATCCATCCATCCA